CACCAACTTCAAAATTTATATGTTATTTAATATTTTATTAACATTAAACTATTTAAATTGATTGAATAATCAGATTTCTTGAATAAAATATTATTAAAAAAATTCTCAAAATTTCAAAGTAAACGCATTTTCCATTTTTATGTTTTCAAAAACAGTTTTTCAGAATGGTAAAAAGAACGCATTTTCAGAAATTTCAAAACAGACACTCGAAACACAAAACACAAAATGAATTCAAAACTGAAATACAAAGAGAACGACACCTTAATTTCCTTAAATTTAGCCAAAAATTATGTTAAGTGTATATTCGATAACCTACATTTTGGTGTACATTGTGTGCAAATTCAAAAAATATTGGACGAAAAAGTGTGTTGTTTTTTAAAACCATCCAATCATATGTTGACACATGACACAATGTAAAACGTGACGTACATATATGATTGTTTACCCAAACATGCTTTATCAAATCTATTTTTAGGGGCAGCCTTGTACTTGGGCTGCTCAGGGGATCGTGAAAGTTGAGCTCATAGGTGACTCCCAGAGACAAGCTTGTGGGCCCGATTCGGCCATTGCCCCGGCCACCCCTGCCTGCCTATTCTAATTAGCTACACTGATCCAAGCAAAATTTTACAACTTACTAGGTTACCATCTCTTTTTTGTATGTAATTATGTATAGTCAAAGTTTCTCATTTTCCCACGTCGACATGATTAATTAAGAGGTTACAAATTCCGTAAAAGTCCCGTCGTACTTGACGAGGCATGATTAATCTAATCTAAAACTAAATCTGGCTATATTTTTAAAAACACGTTTGATTGCAACGAATTTCATGAAAAATGTCACATCCGAAAAAAATGAAATTCACTTTGACCGTTTGATTATAGCGTGGAAATGAAAAATCGAATTTCAAGGTACAACCACTTTAAACTACATTTTCTTTGTTTTCATGAAAAACGAATTCCTATGAGTTTGATGAATTTTTATTTTTCAACTAATATGAAATTAATATTTCTTTCCACATTTACCAATTAAACGAACCCTAAGTGTCGGTATGACAAGATTTTTACTTTTACTTTTACTTTTGGTAGAAGAATTTTTCAAAATAGTTACTTTAATCAATTTCTTTTAAAAACACTTTTAAAAAATTAAAAAAACTTCCAACGTTTTAGTTTTGTAAGTAATTTAACTTTTCAAAAGTCATAACCGACAAGCCATAAATTACCCTACCACAATCGTGTCATTATTATGAAAAAAGAAACTTTGCCATTTCGACACATAAATATGTCATCTCCCCCAAGTAAACCATACCATTATTTTATAATGCTTTAAAGCTTTCAACATGTGCAAGCAATCTTTTTTCAATGTGGCATATGGTCCATGAAAATTTGCATTTGTACTAAACAAGAAATAACGTGATATTATCCTAATTAAACAATAATTTACGTTTCCCTCTCTACTTTTTTGGGAAATTGATCCACTTTAAATACTGAACAGCTGCAACACATTAATCAAAATGTAATTGCAGACATGTGAACCACAACGTGAAACATGTTACTGACATTATAAAATTTTGGATTAGATCAGTACATAGGATGAACCATACGAAATACGGTAACGATGTACAAAATTTTAGTTTAGATCACGACAATGAGCCCGGCAAGGGTTGCCGCCTGCCGGGTCCTGGATGGCTCGGGATAGACACACCTAAATCTAGATATTATTTATCTGTTTAGCAATGTTACATTGTTGTAAGAAGACAAGATTTAACATTGGATTTAAGTCAAGAAGCAAACAGAAGCACATGAACAGCCATACTAATTATAAAAAGAAACACACCATGCTAAACCAGAAAGGGCCGCAGAACTTATAAAAACAAAAGGCCAAAAATATGCATTAAAATCTAAGTTATAGGGGCAGAAAGTGAAAGGAGTGTTTTTGGTAGACCATCGTACCATACAAAAGGTGTCAGCACCCATGTGAGCTTGTGGACGTACACCCATGTCCATCTTTAAAGAACTCAATATGAGACAAGAGTGTCCTGAAGTAACCTTGAAAAGCATTAAAGCATAAAAGAACACCCCCTTTACTTTCATTCTCCTTTTGTTATTCCCATTTCCCTTCTGTATCGACACAATAAGTCGGAAGAAGGGGTAGACCAAAAAAAGGGTATGTTGTAGTGGCTAAGAACTTAGTTTCTTCTAAATCTTCCAATAGATCTAGCTATCAACCGAACAGAAAGAGAGAAGGATTTACAAAGCCGACCCTGAATTAATTATCAGAAACAAGGCTTAATTTGTTGTTGCTGTTTTCGGATATTTCTTACAGAGTTGCACTTTTTTTTGTTTTATTGGTGTGATGATCTGGTGGATGATAAAAGATTGTTCCTCATCAGGAGTAATTATAACTTAAAAATGGATAGGAAAACAAGTTATACCTTCCCCTTGAATCCGTCACTTCTTCCCTAATCATACATCTTCTTTTTGCCTTGTTTTTACATTCCTTAAATTTTTAAGGCATAAATGCAAATATACTGATAATAGGACAAGAAAAGGTGACAAAAAGAAGAAAGAAACAGTAAAATTATTATCATATAAAAAAGTTACTACTGGCTTTTTTGTTTTAACTCATAAACTATAGTTCAGTTTGGTCCAGCATACAACAGAGAGGGTATAAAACTAAACAAGAAAGAACCCACTCTCAGAAATTAGTTCATCTGTCATTTATCTATGCATTATGTATCCTCCTTGCAGATATTTTCTTCTGTTGGCTATGATAAGGGCTATACAGCTACAAGAGGACTTTCTACTTCCTTGTATATGCTACTCAAATTTTCTGCATGAAGAGCAATGGAGAAGAATTTAAGTTAAAAATAAATACAGGGTTGCATAATGAAGTATTTTCGGGTTTTCGTACCTATCTATATGTTAAACCCTCCTTGCTAGTCATGCTTGGCTCTAACAGCTACATTTCAATGGCTTCTTGACCAAAACAAAACTTGACGGTAATTTAATAAGCAAAAGAGAACTGACAAACCAGTGTAATACCTTGGCATTTGCAAGTAACTATAGATTAACTAGAAACCATGTTGATGGCCCAATTGCTGGGAAGTATTAGGGATATTGTTAGATGTTGTAGTTGACACAAGCATGCTTTCAGCTTCAGATGAATTCTGGAAGAAGACGGATTTGTGTTCAGCAGCAAACTTTGTAGGAGAAGCAAACAAGTTGCTGGGAAGGGTGTGCTCAAAGCTGCTTCCGTAAAAGATACGAGAAACAATATATCATTAGAAAATGGGAAATTCAGCAAACAATCTTATGGAAAAGAACCTCTGGAGTCGAAAATTAAAATCAAATAAACAATGGTGTCCCTCTCTAAGAGATAAGCTATTCTACGACGTGGTTCAACATCTATAAAAAGTGCATAGATATTTAATACGCACTGGTGCTCTTTTTTCTTTTTTCCTTCCCCTCTTCTCTTTTTATCTTTGTACACATTCAAATAAAAGATTTTCAAGTGAATAACCTTATATTTCATCTAAAAGTGATTTTTAATACCTCTCTGGGAGATCGGAGTCTTCAGTATCTGTAATCTCCTTGTTTTCACTTTTAGTATTATTCTTATTCAAAACTTCAGTCACTTGGGTCAGCAGCTTCTCATCAGATCCAACTGCTTCCTGGCTACCATTAGTCTCTGTGACAGGGAAATATAAACGGCCACTTGTTATTAATTGGAACACTAAATTTTTTTTTCGAACAAGTAACTTTTGAGATAAATGTAAATGAAATATAAGAATTCGAATGAGCTGACTTTCTACTATTTCTTGATTTATGGCATCAGATGGAAGATCAAGAATTCTAGTTTTCTGAGGCTGACACTGCAGCGAGGAATTAGGGACAGCTACTGACAGTCTTGGTATTATTTGTTGATTATGTTGCTGATTTTTGACGTCCCAGAGTTGGAAATTCATCATTCGTTGCCCTTCAAGTTCAATACTATGCTGCAATTCAGCCTCCCGTCCGAATCTTCTTCTCTGCATTATATCTTGTGTATTGTAAAATAATTTAGACCCTAATGGAATGATAAAAAGAGAGTCAGATAATAGATTCGTATATTTGAGATGTATCAACAGCCAGGCTCGTTTGCTTACCCAAAGGGAGATCAAAATCCTCTCTTGAAGCAAGTTCCGATGGGCTTAAACCAGCCATATGCTCCTCTCTCTCTGTATGTTGTTGTTGATGATGTTTCCTAGGAATTGTTCGACTGATAATAGAACGAAAGAATAAACATGATTTTAAATAAGTGATGATATAGATTGAAAATGGTACCTGTCCATGACCTTTCCCTTTTCTTTGTAGGGTTTAACAAGCACACGAGAGTCACACACAAAATGTGGGTTTCCTTTCGCCAAGATGAGCTTGACAGTCTCCGCATAGGTGAATGTAACAAATCCAAACATTCTCTTCTGCTGATATGGAATTCTAACATCTTGCACTTGTCCATACATACTGCAATCAGAATTTTATAAGAATAATGAGTACACAGTTTGCTTGCAATTTCAAGAATCAATGTTTTCAGCAGCCACGAATCACTAACCTGAAGTAATTAGAAACATCTTCTTCCTTAAACGTACTATCAGACGGAAATGTCAAATAAATTTGTCGCGAGCTTGAATTCGCACTTCCAATCAATCCCATTGCTGAATAATCATTCTTGTCAGGTCGACCACATCCAAATTTGTGGAATTCTTCACCCATTGTCAACGCAGCAATGGCAGATCTATAATGAAGCATGTTGCCAATAAGATATCACAGAGAACTAGTTGAAACACAGAAACCCCACATAAAGACGCTATCCTAATTATAACAAGTCGACAACCAAAGTATTGGCTAATTGATATACCATTCTCAACTATCTAGAACTAAATGTCCCACTTGTTTGAATATACCTGGTTCTGTGGTGATCAGAAAATAATAAAATCCATATAGAAGTTAATAGAAAAAGGCTACGGGAATTAAATCACCATTAAACTTATCAATACAGAATTAAAAAAAATCTATTTAACAAAAAATAAATTTAAAAAATAGTATAAATCGCAACTCTCATAATATGCACAAATAATAAAGCAACAAAAATATTAGAATAAACTAAAAATATAGTTGATTTCCATAAAACCACCTCTGATTCTCATTCAAATAGTTCATGCTCTTGTTGTAAGCTAAAGGATTGTGACCTCCTAAAGCCATTAATGCCAATTTCTGCTGTTGAATGGCCCTTATTTTCAATAATTCATCGAATCTTGAATCAATTTTGTTTGGAGACCCAACATCAATTCCTCCACTATGTAAGAACTTGCAACTGCTACCATTCTTGCAAAACCCTCTTGTATAGAACAAGCAAGGCCTCCACCCAAAACCTATACAACCATTTTCATCCTCCACGTTGTCAAGAAAAGCAGCATCATTCACTGAAGAACTCCTCCTGTGAAATGGATGGGACTGAGGTGAATGAATATTGTTGGCATCCTCACCATAAGGAAAAAACAGAGAATCACTTCTCGGATCCACCATAGAGTCGTCAAAAAATGACAACTGATCTTGAACTCCTTGATGTAGCTCTCCAATCCCACCACCACTAATAAATTCATCACCAAAATCATTTCCACCATCAAAAGAAAGTGGGGATCTTGATGAACCTAAACCATTGTTGCTATTATTAAAATTAGTACTAGAGCCATAAGAACGAGGCATGGGACTACTCGAAAATTCCACAAGGGGAGAAGAAGTGTGGTTGTTCAAGTAAAGCCCACTATTTGGTATCAAGATTCTTGGTGAATGTTGGCAAAATGGGTTGTTTGGCTTTGTGAGATTTGACAAAGGAGTTGAACCCAAAAAGGCCTTTGCTTCACTCATATAGGATATCAAATGGGATTCAGGGCCGAAGGCTAATCTTATCAACTCCTTCTCCCCTTGTTCTTGTAAGAGTATATAACCCATGATTTTTGAAGAATTTTCTGGATCCAAACTTTTGATTCTTGACATCACTATTTTTGTTGCCTCGTGTATATCCATGGTTCTAGTATCTTTCCCTCTGAATGTATTGAGAGAGAAGGGTTTTAAGTACTAGTTGCGACTCAAAATCTTAGATATACGTAGAGAGTTTACAGGAGGGTGAGATTGCTATGAAGCAGTAGCCAAGATTCAATCTTGTGGTAAAAGGTAATGATGAAATGTGCATATAGTTGGATAATCATTTCATGCGAAATACAAGGGGAGTACGTGAGCGTATCTATAGAAGAGAGAGTGTTTGTAGGTATAGTTTTATCTTCTAGCTTTCATTTCATTTATATCTTTGGGCATCTCATGATTTCGGTTTCAGGGCTTGGAGGTGGCGGTCAAAGGCGGAAGAGGTGGTTGTGTGTTGGTAAGGAAGGCAGTTGGCTGGTAAAAAGCAATTTTGCTTTGGTGATGATGAGTCACCGCTTTTGGTGTCAGTTCAACCTGCAGCATTGGGGAGTGTAAAAACTCACTACAGATATACACACACATACATCGTGTATTTGTGGGTCTCTCTTGTGTATATCTCTATCTGTCCTGGATTTGACCATTGGTGGGGCAGTAAAAAATCAATTTGGTCCTTGAACTTTGCCTTCTTTTCCAATTCCATCTCTAAATTCAAAATTACTTCAAATCAATCATCAAATTCTATTTAAATTTTCCATTCGCCCTTCCATCCACATTTCTTGCTCAATACTGACAAAATGGTCTTATTTGGCACAATGAATTGCATATGTGGCTTGTACAGTCACAGATGTCTATATATTACATTGCATCAAATCCTACCTCCAAATTCTAAGAGGCGTCGATTTGACGAGATGTACTTGAATTAATTTTGAGTTTAAGGATATGATTGAAACCAGGGCTAAAGTTATAGGACCAAATGGGTTTTTTAACCCCATTGTTAGCGGTGTTTGAGTTTATCTCATATATATATTGGTGGTCCCTCAACTTAGGCTATGTTCTAACTTCTAAGTACATCCATATTCTATCATTTAGAGAGTTAAAATTTTGAAATACTCAAACAATTTTTTTTATATTTAACACTTAATTTTATTACTCTCAAAAAATATTTATTGTTTTTCTTTATTTTTTATATTCTCTAACTTTTCTTTAAATTATTTTATTATTATCTCACATTGAAAATTAAAATACTTTGAATTCATTTAATTATAGAGAACGAGTTTAACTCTCCAAATTTGAAAAGTCAAACCTACTTTCTAAATTAAAATTCAAACACTCTCTCTAAATTAAAATATGGAGCGTGATTTTAAATGTTGATTTTTTAAAATAGAGAGCACAATATAACATGCTATCAAGATAATAGGTTTATGTTGACTGGGCCTAATACAAGCCAGTAAAAAGCCCATTTCAAAATCAGGCCCAATGGCTCGTGAAGCCTTACACTAAAAGCTCTTGCTAATTCAATGTATCCGAACTGTTACTCCGATTAAGGAACTTATTTGGACGATCGATCTGCAACTCTTGGACTATGAAAGGAAGCTTCGATCATATAGCCCTCGATCGAGATTGATATCGGCAGGTAATATAGTAATTTTAATAGCCAAATCAACTGTTGAAGAAATAATGTTCAATAACAAGAATACCGACTCGGGATCACCTTATAAGGAAAAAAGATAAGGCTAATGTAACATAAATATTCCAACAGTTGTTCATATAAATTATCTGGATCCAACTCTGAATTGAGCGTTGAAATTTTTTATCCGAAACTCATTCGAGCGCATTGTCCAACACTCGTTTTTTAGCGCATGGATTAGCCTAAAAAAATTCCTTAACAGCACAGGGGCGGTTGCCGAGATTTCTAGAACTCATTTTTTTCTCAATCTTATCTTTAACCACATATTCATGGAATTCACAATTTTTATCAACTTTTTACCATATATTTTATCACTTTTTATTGTATTTTACTAAAAATAAATTTTTTTAATTAAATCAAACAAGAGCTTAAATTGATTTGTACCTAAACCAAAATCTACAAAGTTATCTTTAGAAAAAGAAAAAAAGAATATCTCGTTGACATGTTTGTGAATAAATGCATTAAGTAGTTTGTGAAGTATAGAAATAATTTTATATGTGGATTTTAGTATAATAGCACATATGCATCATCACTGTAGAATAATTGCATCCTAATTTTGAAAATCATATTATTTAATGAAGTTGTAATTTACTTTTATTTACGGGACATTATTTATATGTCAGTGACCTTCTATCACATAAATCGATGATTATCATCGCTTTAGATTAATAACATTCTTTAATTTGTCATTATTGTTTAGAAAGGAGTAAGAATACAAATGCTTTAAAATGAGACTTGACTATAAGTGAATGATCAAGTATTTTATCTAATTTTATACAATTTTCTAATGTATTTAGGGTGTGTGACCGTAATAATCAATATTTTGGAAAGTTCGTCCAAACTCTGTCTAGGTACACATAGACTCGAGGCTTAAAAAAAATGCACACAGAGATAATTCTTGAAGACAATGGTCAAATTAGAGTTGATCACCTAAGGCTCACTTAGGCGAAAAGAAGGTGTACGCCTTTTTGTTAGACGGTAGTATTTAATTTTCTAGTTTTTAAGTTCATCCTTACAAAAAAGAAAAAACTTAAAGAATACATAAGTAAAGAAAATGGAGACTTTCGCGATCAACTTAAAAAATCAAATTGTTTTCTACTTTATGGTCCAATTTATTTCATTTCCCTTAATAATGTTTTACGCCTATGTAATAATCGTCGCTGTCGCCAATGATCACCTCTCAAAACCACCATACTAGCCAACACATCCAGGGGCGGAGTTAGGAAAGTAACTCAGTGCGGGCACAATTTATCGATATTGAACTTCAAGTTTTTAGTTATAAATTTAATAATGATAAAATTATAAAACAATATTACGACAATACTAAAAATGACATAGTTTATAAATTACAATCGATCCTTCCGAGTTTTCATACTTTGATATCGTT